AGAGAACCGTCCACAGGTTACTAGGAGGGACTCAGCTGCAATCAGGACTTGAGAAAAGAAGGTGATAAGTGTTTGATCTGGGCATCAGCGGAGGGTAGAATGCTTCCCTCCCCTAACACCTGTATGAGGACAGGGTTGCCCAGCTCTGGCTCCCAGCTGGGCCCCCGGCCCCACGTGCCGAGCCTGGGGTGAAGTGTCCTCCCCACACTGTGAGTTAAGCTGTCCATGGTGTGAGGCTCGTTTGGGTTCAGTAATTCGCACACGGCCTCAGTTTAAACCAGTCTTTCCCACAAGCAGGCTTTTGGCACTGGCAAAGTGGGATGTTTGGTCCTTAGGTCAGTTCAGGATGAGTCAGGCGCTGAGATCGTTGACCAGATATTTGGCTATGTTGTGCTGAGAACGGAACGCTGAGGCCCAGCAGGTGTTTGAGTGGCTGTAGGATTTGCAGGGGGCCAGCAATCTACCCTGCTCCCTTCCCATCTTGTTTTTGTTCCTCCCTAGTCTGTGGCGTCCCTGGTGAGCCCTTTACAGGAAAACAGAGGATATTTGGAGGCTCCATGGCAAAGATTGAAAATTTCCCCTGGCAAGTCTTCTTCCCGAACCCCCGGGCCGGCGGGGCTCTCATTGACGAGCACTGGGTGCTGACAGCTGCCCACACCGTGGAGGGAAACCGTGACCCAGTGATGTACGTTGGATCTACCTCAGTGGTCACTTCACAATTGGCAAAGGCCCAGATGCTCACTGCTGAGAAAGTGTTTATTCATCCCGGTTGGAAGGTCCTGGATGCCTCGGAAATACGGAAGAATTTTGACAATGACATTGCGCTGGTGCGGCTGCAAGACCCGGTGAAAATGGGACCCACTGTCTCCCCTATCTGCCTGCCAGGCACCTCCTCAGAATATAACCCCTCAGTGGGATATCTGGGGCTGATCTCAGGCTGGGGCCGAACAAATACCAAAGATCATGTTATTTACCTCAGAGGGGCAAAATTACCTGTTGTTCCCTTAGCAAAGTGCCGGGAGCTGAAGGGGCTAAATCCCGGAATAGATATAAATTCCTTTGTTTTTACTGAGAACATGATCTGTGCTGGAGGTGAGAAGGGTGTTGATAGCTGTGAAGGGGACAGCGGTGGGGCCTTTGCTCTACAGGTCCCTAATGAAGAGAATACCAAATTCTATGTCGCTGGCTTGGTGTCCTGGGGCCCCCAGTGCGGTACCTATGGGATCTACACTCGTGTCAAGAACTATGTTGACTGGATCATGAAGACGATGCAGGAAAATAGTGCCCCCAGTGGAGGCTAACCGCACAGATCCCACCAGCCTCTCTACGGGCTGTGACCCATCTGTTGCTTTCTGTTCCTCACAATAATCCCATTATTTCACCATGACTGAGAGAAGACATGGGAGTATGATTTAACTAGAACTTGATTGTTGGGATACCTGGTTGGAGGTGGGGTTTGATCATGTCGTTGTGTCGGTCATTCAGTGTAGTTGGAGTCCCTGGGGTCCTCTCCCCTGAATCTGTCCTGTGGACAACAGTGTGGGAAGGGACGCTTATCTTGTCCTGTTCCACTGGGAGCCCTCTTTCCTGATGATTGCCTCCTGTTCCAGTTCTGACTCTGCAATTCATTGTGGGGCACACCCTTGATTTTTGTTTCCCCTTTACCTGTTTGCAGTTTATCATTATCAGTGTCTACTATCTACCGGTAATAAAGCATGTTTATAACCCAGTTCTCGCTGACTTGGCTTATTCCACATCAAGACTTCAGCACCATAGAAAGGGAGTGCGATGGGCTGTTGTGTCCTGGAAATTCGGGCCCCTAGCGGCTAATATTTAATTGTCATGAAAACAGGGAACTCAGTTTCTCTCCTCTCTTCCAATTGACATTTACTGAGTATTGTGGATTAGCGTAACGTCAACACAAGGTACCGTGTTCTGTTTTTGAAATTCATCAAATGTACTCGAACCTCACTCAGACATCCACATACAACAGTTAGAATTGGCTGTTTAAGATCTTTCAGTCTAAAATTTTGTGGTATAAATGGTTTCAATATGTCTCCTGAAGATGGCTTTTCCTTTAGCGTGCATTTGTATAATACAGTATTATGACTCAATGAGAAAGACAAACAAAAGAAATTCAGTATGTGCTCACATCTGCCTTCCTGGTGGTTTTGGTTAATTTGTCAGTCAGGCAACAACGTCTTCTCTGGATTGAACTGTGCACCGAGATGTTATAGCTCGTCTTGGTGAGGAGGGACCCAAAGACTCCCTTCTACTTTTTTCCAAGGGAACAGAAAAACAAACAAGTGAGCAAAAACAATTCCTCATCCCCACAAAATGATTAGTGGTGAAAAAGGACCAGACAATAGAGACTAGTATTTTTTTTTTTTTTTTTTTGCTGTACGCGGACCTCTGACTGTCGTGGCCTCTCCCGTTGCGGAGCACAGGCTCCGGGCGCATAGGCTCAGCAAGCCATGGCTCACGGGCCCAGCCGCTCCGCGGCACGTGGGATCTTCCCGGACCGGGACATGAACCTGCGTCCCCTGCATCGGCAGGCGGACTCTCAACCGCTGCGCCACCAGGGAAGCCCGAGACTAGTATTTTTTTTTAAATTGCGGTATAGTTGATTTACAATTTTGTGAATATATATATATTCTTTTTCATATTCTTTTCCATTAGGGTTTATTACAGGATATTGAATATAATTCCCTGTGCTATATAGTGGCACCTTGTTTTTCATCTATGTTATATATAGTAGTTTGGAATCTGCTAATCCCAAACTCATAATTTATCCCTCCCCCTGCTTTCCCCTTTGGTAACCATAAGTTTGTTTTATATGCAGAGATTAGTATTTTTTAAACTGAGGACAGAAGAGCTATCTTAGGGTGGCCATTGCCCTAACAAGGTGTCTTACGAAAGCCATGGCCTGAGATTAAGAGTTCAGGGACACTCTGGTCTGTTTGATGTGACACGTGGCTTTCAGGAAAACACTTTTTATCAGAAGCCAAAAGGGGTATATTTGTGGCCCATGAAGAAATGACTTTGATCTTCCATGGACCAAAAGGGCAAAATTCAACAGCTGACATTAGGCTGGTGGTTAACACATGATGAAGTAACCAGAACTCTAATCAAAAGGTCTGAAGAACCAAATGGGACTTCCCTGGTGGTGCAGTGGTTAAGAATCTGCCTGCCAAGGCAGGGGACACGGGCTCGAGCCCTGATCCAGGAAGATCCCACATGCCGCGGAGCAACTAAACCCGTGCACCACGACTACTGAGCCTGTGCTCTAGAGCCCGCAAGCCACAACTACTGAGCCCGCGTGCCTCAACTACTGAAGCCCGCATGCCTAGAGCCTGTGCTCCACAACAAGAGGAGCCACCGCAATGAGAAGCCCGCGCACAGCAACGAAGAGTAGCCCCCACTCGCCACAACTAGAGAAAGCCCGTGTGTAGCAATGAAGACCCAACGCAGCCAAAAAAAAAACCCAAAAAACCCAACAATAGGAAGCTACTGGAAGTATCGTGTCAAATCAACCCAGCAGCATAAAGCCATTTACTTTATTCCTTAACTCTGCACCTGCCAACTACCTTCCCCTACCTGCCTGTCGTTACATGTGCTATGGAGTTGACAGTGTACCCTGGACTACAGAGTTTTGGGCAGGAGAAGGGGGATTCCTCTAGAGAAAAAAAAATTGGAAAAATATTAAGAAACATGCTTGTGATGTGGAAATTTTCCTTCTTTTTAATAATTGCAGGAGTAGAAAAAAAATCAACCTGGAATCTGACAAATAACAGAAAAAGGAAGTCCATCCCTGCCAGAGAGAATCTTTAGTCTATTTGGGTTCTGCCCTCGCGGATGGGCCGAGGTATTGGTGAAAGGATTCGCTTGTTGCTGCTGCCTTGGACAGTAGGATGGGTCTGTTTTTTTGCATCATTAGCTGTAGTACCAGATCATTTCCCTGGGTGAGGGGCAGGGAGGGGTTTTAAGTGAATCATCATCGGAGACTTTGGAGCTGGAAAGGCTCATCACCAAGGCCTAGAAGGGCTAGAAAATCATTCATTGTGGCTTAAAAGACATCAATCGTACGGCGTTGCAGTTCGCTTGGGAATAACATGTGTGCTTCACCTGAAACTCAGGAAAAGACTTAACTTTTAAAAAAGCAGGTGAATTGTCACATTTCTTTGGTCAGAAGAAAATGGACTGGTGGATCAGCTCCTCATGCTGGGGGAAAAAAATGCAGCCAAGAGGACTTTATGGGAAGGACCCTAGTTGAAACAGCACTAGCCCAGAAGGGGCTTGAGGGATTTTGGGATTCTCAAAAGTTGCTTTTACCATGATTTCTATAATCAGAAAAATATTCTATGAAAATGTGACTTTTTACTTTCTGCATAGCTGTTCTTCTTGTTTTTCAGTTTTCCATGCAACATAATCAAGAATTTATTTGAAACACCTTATGATATGAACTGAAATAAACTTGGCAAACTACAATTATCCTGAAGTTTTATTCATTTATTTATTATTTATTCATTTATTCCTTTTAATTCATTTTACACAATGGGCTTTCTCATAAAATTTTATTTGGAAGGAGTTCTATTCAATTACCCGATGGTTATAAAAATGGAAGAGGGGCTTCCCTGGTGGCGCAGTGGTTGAGAGTCCACCTGCCGATTCAGGGGACACGGGTTCGTGTCCCGGTCCGGGAAGATGCCACATGCCGTGGAGCGGCTGGGCCCGTGAGCCATGGCCGCTGAGCCTGCGCGTCTGGAGCCTGTGCTCCGCAACGGGAGAGGCCACAACAGTGAGAGGCCCGCGTACCGCAAAAACAAAAAGAAAAACAAAACAAAACAAAAAAATGGAAGAGAACAATGATAACTAGAGATTGTGGAATATATCTTCTGCAACCCTGGGGCGGGGGGGCGGGGAATAAAGGTGACCTTTGGGTTATTTTAGGTGAAGAGTGTGGATGGGATTATAGAAAAGAGAATTTATTTCACACAGTGTCTTTCTGCATCGGTGATTTTAATATGGATTCTTAGTGGTTGTCAACAGCTGGTTAGATAATCTTTTTTCTTTTTTTACACCCTGCTCTTTGGATTCTGACCTAGTGAATTCCGGGCTCAGTCCTCCTCCTCCATCTCTTTCTTGATCCAGTCAACGTAGTTGAGCAGTTTGGTGTAGAACCCGTACCCCCTGCTGCAGCCGATGCCCCAGGATATGACGCCTGTCGCCACCCAGCGATCATTTTTCTCATCCCTCACTGCAAAGACCCCTCCGCTATCCCCCTGACAGGCATCTTGCTTTAGAGTCGGGTCCCCAGAGCAGAACATGTTTTCAGAAAACACATCTTTCCTATTTTTTTTCCGGAGCCAGCTCTCACAATCCTCTCGCTTAGCTACGGGCAGACGGACAAACCTGAGGTTGTGAGAAAGTCTCTCCTCCGTGATCCCAAAGCCACTGACATAGCCCATGAGACCCTGGTCATAGAAGGTCTCGTTGTCGGGGAGGCAGATGGGGAGGAGGTTGGGGCCCAGGGTGACACTGTTTTCCAGCTCCAGGAGGGCGATGTCCCCCTCGAAGTTGTGGGACTCTTCCTGGCGGTAGTCGGGGTGGATGCTGACCCTGCGGACGGGGTGGTTGGCCAGCTTGGTGATCTCTTCCACGCTGACGTGGCCCAGGAACACGTCCACGGTGGCGTTGCCCTGTGCTTCGTACTCCTTGGGGTAGAGCGTGTGCGCGGCCGTGAGGATCCAGCGGTCGCCCAGCAGCGCGCCGCCCCCTCGGCCGTGGATGTTGGTGAAGGCCTGCCAGGGGAAGTTGCCCAGCTTGGCCTTCTGGCCTCCAACGATGCGCTGCTTCTGCTCCACAGGGTTGACAGGTTTCCCGCACACTGGGGAGGAGAAGGGGGTTGGGGGGGAGAAAAGGGGGCGGGGTGGGGGAGAAGGGGCGGGTGGGGGGAGGAGAAGGGGGCGGGTGGGGGGAGAAGTCAGCGCCCGGCACCGCGGTCTGTTCCCTCCCCTTCGCCCCCTCTTTTTAGCTCAGGCCCCTTTCTTCTCTCTCCTCCCTCCCTTCTGTCTTTGGTGTACGGTCAGCCTCTTCTCCTCGTTCTTGTTTATTCTTCCTGGGGCTTTTCTCGCTCTTTTTTTCCTTTTTCTTTTTTTGGCCGCGCCGCGGACCCGTGCCCCCTGCAGTGGGAGCGTGGAGTCTTAACCAGTGGACCGCCAGGGAAGTCCCTTTTGCTCTTTTTCTTTTTATTCCTCATCTCCCACCTGCTCAGTGAAAAGTCCAGGAATGTCGGGACAGGTCCAGCTCTCTGGGTCCCTCTGCCCTTCTGCTGGGGCGTCTCCTCGCCTTTTTCCTGATTCCTCCCTCACCCCCTGTCTACCTTCAGCTTCAAGCTGGAGCGTCTCTCCCTCCTCTGTGCCATGCCTCCTCTGAGGCCTTGCAGGGCTGCCAGGGCCACAGAGGACGGCGGAGCGTTTCCACTCACCTGGCAAACACCGAGGCATCTTCTCTCCTGCCAGCTCATTCTTCCACATGCCCTGAGCTGTGCAGATGTACCGCCCTGAGGGGAGAGGGGCTGCGCTCAGGCTGGGAGGTTGTGGGCAGGGGCCAGTGAGCACCAAAGTGCGGGAGGGAGAGGTCAGGGATCAAAGGGAAAGGTTCAAATATACGTGGATGGGATATTGAAAGTGTTAAGAGGCTCCATACGTATATTTTTGTTTTAATGCTAAGTGGAAAAATCAGAATGCTTAACTATTATATTCGACATGATCCCCATTTGTGAAAGTAGACACAAAACCTGCAAGGAACTTATCAAACTTCCATCAGTGATTGCATCTTGGTGCTGGGTAGTAGATGTAAATGGTAGCTATGGTTTTTTTTTTTTTTTGGCGGTTGTGGGTGGAACTTAGTTCCCCAACCACGGATTGAACCCATACCCTTGGCAGTGAAAGAGTGGAGTCCTAACCACTGGACTGCCAGGGAATTCCTGGTAGCTATGTTTTCTGATCACGGACAGTGTGCCGGTGCTCATTGCTCAGAACTTTATCTGCATTATCTCATTTAAGCACCACCATGAGGCTTTCAGATATGCATCATTATCCCCACCTTATAGATGAGGAAACTGAGTTTAAATAATTTGCACAAGGTCGGGCTTCCCTGGTGGCGCAGTGGTTGAGAGTCTGCCTGCCGATGCAGGGGACACGGCTTCGTGCCCTGGTCCGGGAGGATCCCACATGCCGCAGAGCGGCTGGGCCCGTGAGCCATGGCCGCTGAGCCTGCGCATCTGGAGCCTGTGCTCCGCAACGGGAGAGGCCACAGCAGTGAGAGGCCCGCGTACCGA